AATTCTGGGAGTTGAAGTCCACCCATCTTCAAGTTGCCAAGGTTGAGAAACACTGTGATAGATGAATTTGGTGCTACAGCTTTGCACGCTATGGAAAGTATGAACACTCCTGTTATGTTTTTAAGCGTGCCCAGTTTTATATCTCCTGGTCTTCTAACACTGCCAATACACAGACGCAAACCTTATATTCAGTGATATACTGCCTCCAAGTCTGGAGGCTTTAACATCGCCATTGATCATAGTTCTCCAGGCATTTATCTATTCCATTTTAAAGATATTTAACCTAACAGGCACCAACTCATTTCAGTCCTTATTTGTTCTCTAGCCAAGATCCACCTTTGTCTTTTATCCCATCACTGCCTTGACTAAGACAAAAGATGCCTAACTTTTTCTGAATCGCGTCTGGTGAGAGGCCTAGGGTCACATCTCCCAAACACCCATGAAACCATGACAAAAGCTAAATTTCATTTCATTTCTACTTAATTAAAATTAGACACAGTCAATACAGATACTCTCTAGTCATGCATTTAATTCGTTTCTCTAGCACCAGCAGCCTTTTCCAGCAACTGAAGAAAGAATTTCAAGTCCCTAAGCATCAGGTGCCCCAAGGAATAAGGGATGGGACCTGGATTAACCCATGGTTTTAAGCTAGAAATCATGATTACAAGCCCAATGGTTGGGTTCAAGCAACATGCTAAGAGGAACCCAAGAAACCAACAATGGCTTCACACTACCTCTGAACCTGGTTCTGAGCTGAATTCAATATACGACTGTGTTTAGCAGCAATGCAGTACCTATCCTTGTTTTATCATGCAGTGGCCTCTTTTTCTTATTTTAGAAAATGGGCACTGTTAATGCCAAAACATTTAAGACCAAAAAAACCCCGTTTTTATCACTGAATCACATAGCATTTTGAACTCAGAAGGTGTTTCTTGCATCCCAGGGATATTTTATTGGTTCTTAATTTAGCTTGCAGCAAAAATACTGTCTGGCTCTAAATATTGAGAAATCAAAGAGTTACGAAGCAAATAAAAAGGGGTCAATTAATTGCATCACACACCAAAGACTGGATGAGAAAGAAACTCGGTACAGAAACATGTCAGTTGTCATTAAGATCTCCACTAGCTACAGATTTAGGGGGTTTTTTTCCCTCTCTGTGTAAAAGCAAGAAGGGAAACAAGCTAATCAAAAAGCAATCTCTGGAGCTGTAAGTCAGAATGGAAGAATGCTGTGGATATAGACTGACATTTCAAACAGGGAAAAATATAAGTGTTGGTCTCTGTTTTTGAAGGAGCAAAAAAGCAGTTGGAAGAGGCTTGGAGGCTGCCCCCTCCCTCCCATCCCCATGAAGACTGGAAGGAAACATACAGCCTCCTGGACTCAAGCAACCATCTTTATTTCCCACAGTCCCCCTCACCCCCTGACGTAGCCCTGCTGAAGAACATTCTGGGCAATATAAAGGGGCACCCTGTCACTGCTACCAGCCTGTGACTGTCACCATGTATGTATTTGTGTGCATTTCTGTGGATCATTTTTGATACTGTTCTACAACCAGGGAGAAGAGAAAAAGAGGGCTGTGTATGAGTGGCTTAAAGAAGAGAAATGCAATAAAAACGGTTAATATTCCCTACCTTTAAATGTTTAGACCAGTGTTTTTCGAACTTGGCAACAGGAAGATGTGTGGACTTCAACTCCCAGAATTCCCCAGCCAGCATGCTGGCTGGGGAATTTTGG